CTGTTAGCAATAATTAGCTTCATTACACACATTACCCTAGCAATTATCAGCGCAGAGAAATAGCAGAAGAGTAGGCGAGTAGACATGAGCACAGTCTCATTAGCAGCCAAGGTGATTTAAGTGAAAAGCTTAAGTTTTCATCGGATTTCAGCCATTTCATTTTCGCCTTTCAATTCAAGGATTCAATTTCATTTGCATATTTTGAATTTTGCGCCCTGCATATGTTCAATAGCAAGGTCGAGGAAAGGTTCGATTGTCCTCCAAACCTCTCGCCGGAAGTTTTGGAGATCCCAACCCCTTGCCCTTAGCGTGTCATCGGCGAACAGCGCTGCTGTGCCAGGAACCACACAAACATATGGAAAGTTCCATACGTGGCGGCAATGGTCATAGCGAGCCCGGCGGCCGGTGAAACGTAGACACCTGGGCACTTGTGACGGAAAAATTATGACCTAAGTTTTGAACAAAGATGGATCTATTGTGCCTGCGTCTCTCTCTCTCTCTCTCTCCTCTATCTCTCTTCTCTATCTCTCTCTCTCTCTCTCTCCTTCTCTCTCTTCTCTTCTCTATCTCTCTCTCTCTCTCTCTCTCCTCTCTCTCTCTCTCTCTCTTTCTCCCTCTCTTTCTCTCTCTCCCTCTCTCTCTCCTCTTCTCTCTCCCTTCCTCTCTCTGTCTCCTTCTCTCTCTCTCCCTCCTCTCCCTCTCTTTTTCCTTTTCCCTTTTTCTCCCTCTCTCTCTCCCTCCTTCTCTCTCTCTTCCCTTTCTCTCTCTCCGTCTCTCTCTCTCCTCTCTCTCTTTCCCTTTCTCTCTCTCTCCCACTCTCTCTCTCCCTCTCTCTCTCTCTCTCGCCCTGCTTGGGAGCGCTTTTTCCTCAAATGCTTTCCGCAACACTTCATGGTGGTGCTCATGCCACCGAAATAACTCGTTTTAAAGGGCTTTAAACAGCACAAGTTTTTGTTTCCTCGCAAAACAAACCAGCAACAGTATCATTGCAATTGCGATGCGTGCTGTTGCTGGAGAGAGGTAGCCATACTAATGAATGTGACGCACCCAACAACCCCACAGTAAAGCTTCTGTGCATAGAGGCTGTTGCTCTCCGGACAGTGGACATTAAGAGAGTACCTGTAAGCACTTGCGTGCGCCCAGAGTCGTTTAGTAGGTCCCTGAGCTGGGGCAGGCGGAGGATTTCGGTGGACTAGGCCACCCTCGTGTTCAGATATCCCCTCCCACGTAATTAAGGCTCTGTGATCATGACAGTGCTACCTGGTAAGTTCCTGGGCTCCGTAAGCAATTATCCGCCTCATTCCTTTTTCTCAGACAACTGCGCGTCAGTATCCCCCTGGACGCGTGTGGTATCTCACCAAGTGCTCGGAGACGCGGGACGGATCCGCCAGCTGGTGACGTCACCCCATTGACGGTGTGACGTCACAGCGGCGCGGCCGGTGAAGCTGGCGACCTATGGCGTCAATACGGGGCGGCAGACGGCGGCTGGCGGCAGCTTGTGTCACGCCGAGCGGGGGCAGTCGTCGCGCGGCACCGGCAGAGGTGGAGCCAGTCCCAGCCCGGTCGCGTCGGCGTGTCTCGAGCCAGTCGGCCGCGACAGACCACGGTCCTCCCGCAGTCAGGCAAGAGCGACGCCCGGCGGCGGGAAGTGAGACCCGCGCTTGTTAGAGCGTGTTGTTTTTTACGCGCTGTGTTTGTGCTGGGCCCACACTTTTGTCGTCCGGCTGTTGACGTTGGTGTTCGCTATCAGTTACGTCGTCGTAACTGCATTCGGAAACCTCAACGCAAGGAACGCGAGGTCTTTCGAATTTATGTAAAAATGAGTTGGTCTACTCCAATCGTACAGTTATAATGTTGTTATGTACCATTTTGACAACAGATGCCTCCGGATCAAGTTACGTTTGAACCCATATGGACGATGAGATAGATGCCTGCTTAAGTCTAATGAAGCAAATAAAGATGTGCTTTCTGCCAGTGGGAATGCTGGCCGAGTGGATCTTACTTGAACGGGGACAAACTTTATGCTGGGCCAACCAGGCCCAGCCGGCGCTGCGAGTGGAAAGTAAAAGCTTCGGAACCGCTGATCATCGTGCACTTTTCATAAACGTTTAGCACAACAGGCTAGACATTGTGCCGCATAAATTTCCAGACAATTGCTTACTAGCCGTTTCATGACGTGCGGCCTTCTGCGATTGCAGTGTTGACAAAATATATCCTCCCCTAATTAATTAACATGGGCGACATGAAATCTGCGGACTGCAAACAAAAACCAAACCTACGTGTATCGAAACCGGGCCGTAATACCGAAGACCCAGCGTCACATTAAAATGTAGCCTACACATTTTGACTTAGCGTAACGGAGAAGACTAACGGCAAAAGCGTGGATCGATACACGAGTAGCCAGTATGCAGCTAGTCACTCGCGCTCAAGCACGTTACGGGCATCTCGTTTTATGTCGTGTTAAAAAATCTGATGTCAAATATCGGCAACAAGAGCAGTTTAAGGCGTGAAACGAGCCGCTCAGTGTGGGTAACGCACCGTCGATTAGTTACTACCCCGATCCACAGAAACGCCAGACGTGTCCGAGAAGCGGCTAATGCCAGCTGTTTCGAAACCGACCGCGAATTCAATACCTGGTGGCTTAAACTCGAGAGAGATTGAGCCATACGCGCCACATGGGCTTGAAGTCAAGTACTTCATCAGTAAAAGCCGCCCAAAATATTGGCCTGTTTGCAATACTTGTATCGCTGTTATCAAAGCGTTTCTTATCGGAAATTCATCACGGCCCTCAACTAAACGCACGAGGTCTGGCTGACCTCAGGGTTTGTCAGTTTTCGTGCAGCAACCTGAGAGCCGCTGCGCAAAAGCTATACCAGTGAGCATCTGCGGGGTTCACGGTGACCATACCGCGGCAGGATTTGCACCACAATAGCAATATAGTGACGTAAAGCCCAAAAGACTCCTCTGCAATGTGATGCCTCTATGACGCCACCTATGGATTTCGGATACAACAGTTTGGGCATTCTTTCTGTTAACAGCTTGCCCTTGCTTTTTAAGCGTACGTCGCCTTATGATAACAGTTAGGGTGGCCTTGAAGAAACCATTGCCTGCTAAACCCATATGAATGGCGGACATTCCAATGCAATGACCGGACTAATGTGTGCGAATATCCCAGTGTGTCAGTCTCCCAGTGTGTCAGTTTCCCGATTTGTGAGCTTTCTAGTGTGTCAGTCTCTCAGTATGTCAGTCTTCCAGTGTGGCAGTACCCCAGTGTGCCAGTCCTCCAGTGTGTCAGTCTCCCAGTGTGTCAGCCACCTAGTGTGGCAATCTCCCAGTGTGTCAGCCTCCCAGCGAACCAGTCTCCCAGTGTGACAGTCTCCCATTGTGCCAGTTTCCCAGTGCATCAGTCTCCCAGTGTGACAGTCTCCCATTGTGCCAGACTCCCAGTGTGTCAGCCTCCTAATGTGGCAATCTTCCAGTGTGTCAACCTCCCAGCGAACCAGTCTCCCAGTGTATCATACTCCCAGTGCGTCAATCCCCCAATATGTCAGTCTCCCACCGTGTCAACCTCCCAGTATGTCCGCCTCCCAGTGTGACAGTCTCCCAGTGCGTCAAATTCCGACTGTGTGCCGATTTTGTTCAGGTGCTCAACAACTGCACTGCACTATAAAATTTGTTGTGTGGCGCACCTTCGTGTCGTGCCTGGCCACGTATAAGTTGGCAGTTATCTCCGGCATTTACCGTTTGCCTTCAGCATGCTTTATCGAGTTCGTGTGCATCATGACAAGTTTCAATAAGCCTTTTGGTATAGCGAATAGCATTTTCAAACACAACCTGGTGATGGCGACTACTTGTTCATGCACAGCTTTGTGTCACTGGCTAGGTGATTAAATAGTTTATCATTTATAACATAGATAACGTTTTCATACGCAGATAACCATGAAACAGAACACTTTTTAGTCCGTTGTTTCACACAAAATGAAAACTTAATTCGATTCCAAGCCGTTCTTAGCATATCTTTTACAACGCATTTTGGTTCCGTGTCAATGCCTACTGATATTATATACATATATATATATATATATATATATATATATATATATATGTGCATAGCTTATGAATGTAATGTTGTGCACGCCGTGTATTGGCGCATATTCGCCATATTCCTAGCTATTCATTGAACTTTGCGATCCAAAAATATTTTGAGGCGGCTGACATAGATCATCAGCTCACGCCGCCTTTCCAACAGCACCGTTTCTCACATTAACATTAAAAGGACCAGATTCTTCACACCGTTCCTATGAATACCAGATTATTCAATGCTTTCTCCAGGCAACATTTCGGACAATCTACTGTTCCTACACGTTTTCGTTTCTTAAACTACCCCGTCATAGCATTGTTCTTCAGAAGGGATGGGCCATGTTCTCATGTGACTTCATGGACACATGGGGGGATTCCGTCTCGAACGCTCGCATGCGCTCTAATGTGCTCCTCTTCAGCGCGTAAACCGTGAAGACTTCTCCAATCCTCGCCACCCGAAACGCAGCATCTCGCTGGCGCTGCATTAGCGTCGGCGTCACACGAGTTCACTGAAGCGGCCGGCGCTTTTGAAGACAGCCGGGTGTCATGCTGCGCCGCACGGCGGCGTGTCAGGCGGTGCAGCATCTTGGCCCGTGCCGGCCGGTTCTGCGTGCCTGAGCTGGTACCGCGGCGGTGCTGCGGTGGCAGCGCGACAGGGGGAGATGTGTGCACTTCGGCGTACTCAGCATCGCGCGTGGGCCGGCTTCACATTGCGATGTTTAACTTAAGGTTGCTGACAACTTGTATGCGCAGTCTGCAGGCGTGATATCAAAAGCGCAAGAGTCATAGCTGAATCAAATCCAAATGTTGGAGGCATCAGAGCTCTAAAACATACCACGTGCCCCACGCTTCACTCCCGCTTCCTTCGACATGTACAAAGCCGTGCCGCGTCTGCCACTGTCCTGACCTGTGCCCGGCAGGTCCAGGAAATGTTGGAGGCATCAGAGCTCTAAAACATACCACGTGCCCCACGCTTCACTCCCGCTTCCTTCGACATGTACAAAGCCGTGCCGCGTCTGCCACTGTCCTGACCTGTGCCCGGCAGGTCCAGGAAAGCAGCCATGCTTCGCACTCTGCTCGCCTTCAGCCTCGGCTGCGCCCTGAGCTCCCTCGCCAGCTCGGCCGAAATCGACCTCGACCAGTTGCTGGCCGACATCCAGCGAGAGCGAGGCGAGCGCTGAGCCTGGCCGGATTACCGCGCTCCCTCGCTTCCCACGCCCCGCGACCGACCTTCCAGATGCCGTGTCGGAAAGTGGATGGGCCTTCTGTCTCGGGGGACCTGCTGGTGAAGGGAGCTGGGCCAAAATGATGGATGCATGATGCATGACGGTCTGTCTTCACTCTGTCTGTCCGGAGCTATGTTGAGCGGGGTGACCCACCTTTGGGGCACATTTTAAAAGCATACTTTAGTAAAACCTTAGGACTAATTACGTCTAACAATAGTTCTGAGAAGAGCCGTTACAGCGCCGTCAAGATATGATAAGGATATCAGTTTTACTTAGTTTCAAGTCCAAAGTACGCTGTCAATGCTTTGTAGCAACACTACGCTTCTTCCCTGCAGTCGCGACTACCGTCGTCATGACAACTAACGTGGGCACATCTACTGGTGCAAATCAAAGAACGGTTGTGATTGGCCCATTGAACAAGTGCCTGTTACTGAAACGCTATTTGGTTGAAATTGGAACCAGTGCATTACATTAATCATGTGATACTTGCATTCCCAAAGCCAAAGTGCGCCTGGAAAAGTCACTGTGGTAAACTCCAAATTGGCGGATAATAGCTCCATGTTTGCGTCCCTTTTTGTTTAAACAGAATGTTTCAAGCTTTCGTACCATTTATTACACAAACATTTTGACCCCCATATGTTACAAACATTACATAACATGGGGTTTTAAAAAGCAAGCCGAATTAAACGTATTGCTTTCTAGTGGTGAGCAGGGAGTCCGATGAGATTGCTCATGCAGGTCGGCCGCTTCTTTTGAGAAAACTGGTATCACTGATCAAATCGTACGCAGCTGATGTAACAGTAAGTGAAAAGGACATAAAAGTTGGGATACTCCATCAAAACGGAGTGGTTCACATTTGTAAAGGTTTTTAAGTATACTGGCTACCTTGAACGTTATTCGGTGCTGTTCACAACCTCTCTGTTTTTAAGGCCTATTCAAAGTCACACAGGCATCCATGTTGTCATAATAACGTCATTCAAGTTCTGCTATTCCGTTTGCCATGTGGCGACCGAGGCCGAGTCAACTACAATTTCGAGTCGTTCACATCTGACGTTCGTGAACACGATTTCCAGACAAAACGGCCATCAAGTAGCTTGCAATCAATGTTGTGTAAGGTACGATGACATAGTCAAACAATGACGTATTGAGGAAGGAGCATGTTTACCGAACAGGGAACTTACGTTGTGAATATTCCCTTTAAGAATGTGGGGGCAAACCCACCATTCGCCATAAGTGACACTAGTGTTGGTGACTGGTTTCCGCGGAATATTTGTGCAGTTCATCTAGGACTCACGATATTTGTGAACTTGTCGATCTCTCGCATCGCCTCTATTTGTCGCATGCCTTAAAATTAACGACTGATCTGAAAACACTGTTGAATTGATGCATTGAGTCTTCCCGAACATTCTCAATGGTTTATACATGATTTCTTACATGTACAGATATCATTTGTTTAAACCGTAGAGTAGCTTTTTGGAGAATGACGTAATAAGCTGATCTCACACTCAGCACTTGCATATTGTCTATCACGAAAGTGCTGAGCCCCTCAACCCGGTAAGAAAGGCGTGTCTGGTGTGTCAGCACTGACACACCAGACTAAGACGATATCCGGACTGTTATGCCAGCCGTGATACTAAGGCCTCGTCCAAATCCTTCCATGAAGCTATGCCGTTCATGAGTCCGTTTAGCTGCTAACGAGTGCCGGTGCTGTAAGTCAGTCACGTTAGGCTGGAAACCCGGCGGCTGGGCGCTATTAATCACGTGCGAACGGTGTCCCCGGGCGACGACGGTCAACTCGTTACGCCTAACGAGCCGGTTTATGGGCGTTCCCCTGTGTAAGTAATCGCAAACGTCAACAAAGCGACCATTCTTGAGCCGGGTCAAAAGTAGCTTTGTTGACCAGGTATCGTTTCACGGACGCGGCAGTGGCTCGGTCAGCGAGCGGTTCAGCGAATTCTACAGCGGGACAAGGCTATTTAGCTAAACAATCACGTCGTGAAAAGACTCGCGATGAACTGTAGCCGGACGGTGAGTTCCCGCCCACCACCGTCCGTGAGATTGCGACCAGCTGGGCTGTTCTGGTCTGTTTGGGCTGTTGCGCTGTTAGCTTTGAGTTTTTACGTGTTAGCTGTCAGCTTGGCGGTCGTTAATGGGGCGAAATAAAGTGTTGGATACGTTATCCGAGTATAGTGCTGCCTTTTCTGCAGACGAAACACACTGACTGCATGCGATAAAACAAAAACATGTCCTAATAAATTCTAAGATACTTATAATACCTAATCATGACAATCGCAAGGTATGTATACATGTATATGCATGAACATATATGTATATATATATATATATATATATATATATATATATATATATATTGCGCTACCATGTGTGCCATGCCGTGCCTTATTCATTTCGTAGTGCCGTCGCTCATGTGCTAAATAAACTAAATGTCTTGCTCTGCGACTCGATGCCTATAGGCCAATAAACGAATAAACGTGAATGTTAAAACATTGCTGGAAAACCAAAGTGGCATGTGTTGCTGTCGTATCAAAAGTTGGGTGAAACCAGGGGCGTAGTTTCCTATTCAGTTTAGTGCTTCAGCCCTGCCAGCTTTGACAACAAAGTGGAACAGATGCGACAGGAATCCCTTGGGTGGTGTTTTGGAATAAGTTTGGCAATGTTTTCCTGCTTAGCCCTCCCTTAACTTTTTTGCGAAACTATACCGCTGGAGTAAAATGTTGCTCTTGATTGCAATATCCGCCACAATCGCGGCCCTTAATTCCGATGGAGTCGATTTGGGTGTGGGGACGGCGTCACCAGCTTTTTGAATGGACAAGCAGACCTAGGGGTTCCAAAACACATCTAGGGGCCCTCTGTCCCATTCTCCATGAAGAAATATTCGAATTCTCCCACTGTTCAAGAGGACTTCACTGGGGAGTTCGCATGAAAGTTAACCCACATTGTGGTCACCCAGCCAATAATATGGTGGCATTTAAATGCCAGTTAAATTAGAAATCACGTTTAAAAATAATGTTAGCCTTTGGTCATCTCACATCCGTCAAATCGTAACGCTGTGAGGGATGCTTCTTTAAATGAGAACAAAAGTCGTGTCAACATATATCGCAACGACAAAGCCACCACTCTGGTACCCTTTTGGGTCGCTCTGAGCCGACTTGGGTCAACTTATATCTAGGCCACCCGTATGTACTTGAATAAAGCCTGCTGATTAGGCGGGCCTATGGTCTTTCTGATCGGGACGTTTTGATTGGCGGGATTTCCATTTTTGCAGTGAGGCCTCCCTTGAATCTGACGGGGCATCCTTTGGATCACATGGGGCATGGAATGGGTATGGGCATCCTTTGGATCATACGTCAATCAGCACGGCCTGATGTTTGACCATGTAGGGCCTGCTGCGGGGCGGATGATACCCCGAGCGTCTTTCGGGCCTTCTTTTCATTTCATGGAATGCTCTGTCTCGGTCCTCTGGGATCTCTTGTCGGCATCAAAGGGCCTAATAAAATATGAATTTGACTGTTTGACCCCGCTGGAAAATGGAGAGGGCACCTTCGCCCTCCTTTTTTGGCTGCATTCCGGTTGGAGCCAGTTCATCCTTGGCTTGGACCCAGCTTTGCCTCAGTCACACGAAGGAATCGATTTTTTTCTGGCTCAACGAAGGCATTGTTTCTTTTTTAGTAGATTTCGCCTCCAACCGGAGTCCGGCACAAGTCTGGCGTACAGCGCTTCTCGCCATCTGATGAGATGGGATAGCTCGTAATTCTTGTGGGAATTACAAGGTAACAGTTATGACCCCATCCGTTTCAGACGTGCAGCCATATGTTCCGAACGAGTACCCCGACGACTACTACAACGGCGCCGGCGACCCAGCCCAAACCATCATGGCTCGGGCAAGTGCCGCCACCGGCTGCACCAAGTAGATTTGGTTCATGACCATGGCCACACTACTGCATGATGATAATATTTACAAAGATGCGAGACGTTCCCAGGAGTTGCATTAAGCTGCTAAACTAAAAAAGTTACATAGCCTTGCTAATACAATCACGCAAACTAGACAAGTCTAACTGCAAATAGTGTCGCCGCGTGCCATGCAATCTGTCGTGACACCGAGCCGAGTTTCAGACCTGCAGCGAACATTTCTGGCTTTGGGATTTGATGAAGTACCATGTTTCAGGCCAATGCTAGTCAGGCTAGCATAAAGCGTTTCATCCGTGCGCATTTTAGCCACATCCGCTGGTTTTAGTCAAGGATGTAGAGCACCAATAATGCCACAAGCTTGTGCAGTCAGTTAGAAGCTCATGCGTCATGGCCTTGTGTAGGTTCGAAAGGGCGCTGGTAACTGCTACGCCCAGGGCAAGTGTCTTTACTACAGCAAGCGCATGAAAGGGGAGTTCTGCGGAGACTGCGGCAAACGCCCTGGATGCTTCCCAGGTAAGGCGCCGAAACGCACCGCACAGGCTCCAGGTCAACAGCCAGCCACAACGCTGTCGACATTGACCGTTTCAGAAGCGACGCGACGCTTTTAAACTCTGAAATTGCATGATGTCTGAACGCTTAGGGTGTGCTATTTCACGTGCATTTCAGGTAGACCTGTTTACGCATCGCACACCCGTGCCCAGTTACCCAAAGTTTAATCCACGCCCAGACCGGCCCTCAGCCCCACCGATTTCCCAATGGACCTGCCTGTGCGCGTATGCCCGGACCACGTCAGGGTATCCTCCGCCCGCGCCCGTGTTGCGCCTGACCTGCCGTGACCGCGCCTCGTCCACGGCGGACGCAGGGCGTTGCCCCGCCCCGTCCGCCGGCTCGGGGCGGCGCGGGCGGCTCGTTGTCGCCGCTCGCCGCCGCTCTATTTACATCCGGCTGGGATCGGGGCTCTAGCGCGCGGCCGCCGGTCGACACCGCCTCGTGATCAATACCTGCAAAACGGGCCGGTCCGCCTCACGCCGAGCGCCGGCCGCGAGCTGTCCTGGCCGGTGGCAGGCACCACCGTCTGCGGGAGACCAGAGCGCGCCGAGGGGTTCTGCCGCTGCACTGGGCAACACCGCGGGGCTGGACCCTCGCTTCGTCTCGAAGTTCGGTTTTCCTGTGAGGAGTTTAGAGAAACGGGATGATTGCAGCCAATGCTAAGTCTCGCTAAGCTTTGAGTAACGAATTATCCCTTCTTGGAATATCTCTTGACTTGCTTCGGAGTTTCAGGTACGGTCCACAGTTAATTCATGAGGTTTAAGTGCACGATCATCGGCATCTCTCTCCTCAATAATCGGCTTATATCAAATATTCGCGACACCATGCCTCTCCGGAGCGACCTGCCGCCGTCAGCCTTGAAGTGGCTGGAGTGCTCTCCCCCTGGCAAGGCACGATCCGGGCGCATGCATATAATCCAAAGAGAGGTACCCGTGCGTCATCAGATGGCCCTGAAATGGCCGAGGCCAACCAGAAGGGCTTTGATCTCAACCAAAGCAAAAGCGCGGCGTCTACTCACAGAATCAACAGCGCACAGAAAGTCGATCGTTCAAACCTCGCGCGTGACAATCCGCTGTGGTGCTGCGCGCCCATGATCGATTCAGATAATTGAATCATATTTTTCGTAACGTTGCAGCGGCCCACCGGTAAAGCTACATCAAGTTATACAGTGCATGAAATCCGTGCCCAATTTGAAAAAAGGATTGCGAGTTATCAGTTAGGGGCTGCTATAATTAAGTGGGAACACCATCAGCTGCTCTTGCGGTGGTGGTGCAGCGTCTAGGACGCCCGGCTGTGGACTTGCCGGTCTTGGTTTAGGACGCTCGGCTCTGGACCTGCCGGTCTTGGCTTAGGACGCTTGGCTCTGGACCTGCCGGTCTAGGTTTAGGACGCCCGGCTCTGGACCTGCCGGTCTGGGTTTAGGACGCCCGGCTCTGGACCTGCCGTACTGGGTTTAGGACGCTCGGCTCTGGACCTGCCGGTCTGGGTTTCAAGTGACGCCACCACCGCATTCCATATGGTCCCCAACGAAGGCATCCTGTCTCAAAATGGCGCTGGCAGTCGGTGAGACATAGAGCCCACTCATCACTATTATTCAGTTGTTTTTTTACGAACAGTGATCAGGGTTGGTTTTCTGACGGCTGACACGGGCTCTCTCCCCAGATCGCTTTCATTACTTTCTGTGATACAGCTCCTTGCGTAGGCTGTAGGCCGTTTGCCAATATGGTCTTGTTAGGCACAAGGTGGATCTAGCAACAATCGCGGGAGACGGGATCGTCAGAGAGAGGGATATACAGACGAAGCACCGAACCACGGCAATGCTACGATAGCAACATCTCGGAATTATAACAGTATACATTAAAGGTCAGGAGGACCATGGGTGCAAGCATCGTTTTCACCGAACATCTTCTTCAGGACAAAAAAAACCCTGAAGATGCGATGTTGCATGTCAAGACAGACTTCGCAGCCATATTTCCCTCTGGGCTCAGTGAGATTTTCCTCGTGCATGACACCTGCCGCGGTAACGCTCACATATTTATAAAACATTCCGAACCTCTTCCTAGCTCCTGCTCTGTAATTGTATCTAGAATACTCTCACGTCAACGCTACCAGTGACAGTTTGACCATTATCAATGCCAGAACGACTGGAAATAAAGCCATCGTCCGGCATCAAAGCCTAAATGATGTATAGGGTACCTTGTTAGTGTTATCACAATTTGTTGCGGAGCCTGTGCCCGTGGCATTGGGCATGCATAGTCGCCAACGAATCCTTGGTGCCGACCATGTCCACAAAACCATCCATATCAAAAATTAGCGTAGCGCTCTGTGTAGCACCAGGCCATCTTACCAACTCGCCACACTTTGCAGGCGATGCTAGCGTGCTGAAGAAGTCAGGACAGACAGTCAGCATGGCGGAATTGAAAGTGAATGACGAAGTCCTGGCAGGTAAGAACAAACTCATTTTGGTAGAAGTGCAACGAACAGTGCTGAAAAGGGTTTGTGGGCCAATGCTCAGCCTGCAAATGATTGTCTGTTCGCTTCTTGTCCCGGGCTGATGGACCTAGCTCCAATTCTCATAAATCTATTGTTGGACCATAGATCTTCCGTTGGAATAATGCGGTATACAGGTGGCTTCCGGGCAGTTTGTATTACCTTACTTAACTGAGCTGAAATGGTGTTCTCCATGTTCATCTGTGGCGAGCAATGCTCACCGTCCGCCGGCCGGTGTCGTTCGGTCTAGACAGAGGTCACCGCTCCTGGCCGGCGGGCATCCTGTGACCTGTGCCGGGGCAGGCCCTGTGTCCTGTCGCCTCTGCCGGGGCAAGCCCTGCGTCCCGTGACCTGTGCCGGGGCGGACCCTGCGTCCTGTGACCTGTGCCGGGGCAGGCCATGCGTCCTGTTACCTGTGCCGGGGCAGGCCATGCGTCCTGTTACCTGTGCCGGGGCAGCCCCTGCGTCCTGTGACCTGTTCTGGGCAGGCACTGTGTCCTATGACCTGTTCCAGGGCAGCCCCTGCGTCCTGTGACCTGTGCCGGGGCAGGCCCTGTGTCCTGTGACTCGTGCGGGGCAGGCCTTGCGTCCTGTGACTTGTCCGGGGCAGGCCCTGCGTCCTGTGACCTGTGCCGGGGCAGGCCATGCGTCTTGTTATCTGTGCCGGGGCAGGCCCCGTGTCCTGTGACCTGTGCTGGGGCAGGCCCTGTGTCCTATGGCCTGTTCCAGGGCAGCTCCTGCGTCCTGTGACCTGTACCGGGGCAGACCCTGCGTCCTGTGACCTGTGCCGGGCAGGCCCTGCGTCCTGTGACTTGTGCTGGGGCAGGCCCTGTGTCCTGTGACCTGTGCCGGGGCAGGCCCCGCGTCCGGTTGGTCCGCTCGGCGGGTGCATGGCATGGAAACGGAGGATTATTGTTAATGCGCCGACGTGACTGAAATCCCGCGGTAAATCCCGGGTTAACCTTCGACCGTCTGGGATGTTAAAGGAAATCCCCGCCAAGTCTCCAGAATAACTTTCGAGCCGCGCGAGATCGATTCAGCAACTTTCATCATCTGAACTGGGGCCAGCTGAACGTGTCGTCTAATTTTACAGCGAAACTATGCTTATTCGTACCACTGAGTTATGAGAGCGTCAGCGAAGTCTTGCACGTCAATGTTTGCTTCTATATGCGGTGATTCGCAGTTTCCTTTATTGTTATGGATTGCGTTAATGTAAAATGCTGATTTGCTTGGCGTTCCGTCAGCCAATGGCATTTACACCATGTAAGGTCACCATCAGTCACCATCAGAGGCCATGAGCCGTCAAGTCAAGGTTTTGAACCAGTTAGCTGATATGTCCATTGATAAAATACAACCTGGTATCATTTATCTACTCAAGAAACAAAAAATAAAGAATACGGATAAAATAATTAAGATTATAAATAGAAAACTCCTGTAACAGATATTCACTGAATTATTCCTGGCTGAGGCTGACCGGAACGATCGATTTCCGTGGATTTTTTTCCTGAACGATTAGTTTCTATGATACTAGAAAGGCAGTAGCCCCCCCCCCCCCCCCCAAGGGCCGCAGACAATGATTTCCTCGGATGTTGCTGAGTTTAGAAACACTAGTTCTCACTGAAGGGGTGATTATCTTATGAATACATTGCAGAAGACGCCAGCCACCATGGGGGGACATTCCCTCACCTCCGTTGATGCGTGCGAGGTGACGGGGACGGCCGCGGTCTTATTTCAGCCACCCGAGACGGCGAGCTGACCTTTAGCCCCGTGGTGACCTGGCTGGACAAGAGGTCCAACGACACGACACCCTACCTGGAGATTCAGGTTCAGCTGGGCCACCGTATCGTGCTCACCTCCAACCACGTGCTGCTCGTCAGGCAACAGGAGGACCTTGTCTCCAGGTCAGCTGCTGAATGCGTAGCTCATTGGACGGTGACAGTCATGACAACCAGACATGCATCTGGGTTTGTTGTGCATCGCAGGGAAAATCACGAAAATAAGCCGACTTCGCCTGATTACGTGTCGCTGGGGCCAGATCCTGTTAACTTATGTACGTACGCATGCATATTTGACAGTGTCACCAATGCGAGTACAGCTTTTCGGACACACAGGTCAATGCAAGGTACAGATACGAAAAAAGTGTCATGCATTGTTGGATGCGTACGAAACGCACGCATGAATTGTAAGACACATACCCTGCAGCAGCAGTCGATCGAGTCCATGCCAAATGGTGCTCCTCCCATAACTTCGTCCTAATGAAGTAAAAAGTTATGCACGCTAACAGGCCCTGCTGACACTTGTCAGGGCAGCGCCGATTGCGTGCACCTTCGCCGGGATAAGCTGTACAAATGTGTTGTCAGCAGATGGAGTAACGGGTCGACCGACTGCGACAACGCCGTGGGACTGTCGCACTTTCAAAGACCATTAGGGCTAGCAAACCACGGGCGTTGCCGGGAGGGCCGAGCAGGTGAAGCCTTCAGGGTCGCGAAAAACATCCAGATTTGCACCATTGCTGCCTGATTTTGGTACAACTAGTAGCAAAATTGGACTTTGCGCCGCCCGCCCTCCCGAATGGACTTCGACCTCTCCCAAGACTGATGCTGGAGCCGGCTCTGTGACAATGAACGATCGTCATGGTGCATGCCCCAGCACGGAAGCCAACAACTCTGAGCCGCTGCAGGAGTGCACGGCATCCGACCAGCCGGGATCGTCGGAACAGTCGGATGGGGCACCAGGAAGCGCTCTATGGGCCCGGCTCAGCAGGAGTGCACGCCATCCGACCAGCCGGGGTCGTCGGAACAGTCGAATGGGGCACCAGGACGCGCTCCATGGGCCCGGCTCTAATCACGAGATAGGAGCCAATGATTCCCCGGCGGCCATAACGCACCGCTGCGGCGCTGAACGGGCCTCTCATGGACGCCTGGCGCTGCCACTGCACCAGGGGCACGGTTGTATTCGCTGGCCGGTTCACACCTGAACCCAGTGGCGTGTCTGGTGTTTCGCTCAAGGCGGATCACCCTTAAGGGTCATTTGCACCCTTAGCAGCGGAAAAGTACTTGGTGATAGGACGGCCGTTTGAGCGGGTTCATACATAATCTCTCGAAGTCTTACGGCAAAGTTGAAACATTATAGTACCGATCGCGGCTCAATTCATGGTGAGCTGAGTTTCATTCAAGAGCTCCATGCATGTTACATATCATAATCGTTGGCGTCGACGTAACAGATCCCGAGACAAAGTCGCTCAAAGCCAAGCCCTCCTGAGTCACCCCCATGCAAAATAAAGAGCTTTCCCAAAATGTCACGTGTAACCGAATACAAGCTGAACCAGCCGGAGCACTTGACAGCTGTTCAACGTTGCCATTTTGCCGCTTGAATGATATGCTACAGCTTATATACGCGAGTGCCATCTTGACAGCCAAATGTGTCTGAAAGCCGTGCGTGCGCTGAGTCTGCCAGACTCAGTACAGAGGTTTGTGGATGGGCCTGTCAGGCTGCACACAGTGGCGGGTGAAACAGAGACCCTGCAGTGCAGTCCGGCTGGGATGCGTCAAAACTCAACAGGCTCTGGCTTCAGGCGCCTTATCCAGGAATGGAACTGCTCCAGCTGGCTGCCCATCCGTTCCCGCTGTCTGGCCGAGCTCTCCCGCCGGCTGGCCGGCTGTTTCTGCCGTCTCATGCATCATGGTGAGGTCGTGTCCCCAGATTCGCCGGTGACGTGCGCGTCGGTGACATGCTGAAGGTGGCGGACAGCGCCGAGGCCGGACGCTGGTCTCCGGTCGTCTCCAGCCGACCCCTCCTCGCCACAGGTCAGCACAGGTCACCACCGATCTGTTGAGAGCACCGCCGGCTATCAATGCAGACAACAGTAGTCCACTCTCTCAGGTCACCGGCAGTTAAAAGTACCTGCTTGATCAGGATAACTCTTCTTATTATCCTCCAATCTTCCCATCTCCTGCTCGCTGCCGTCCTCACTGTCCGCTTTACTAACCTTTTGAAGCATTCCATGTCCTCGTTCTTTGTAGCTGCTTTCCCTCGGCCGCCTTCGTTACCGCGGCCTCTAATTCCCGCCTGTGCGGGCTCATGGTGCCGCATGGTCGGCGGTCCTCCTCTCTGCGTCTTGTAGCGTCTTCTGCCGCTGTACCCCGGCCACCTTCGTTACCGCGGTCTCTAATTCCCGGCTGTGCGGTCCTCGTGGTGCCGTGTAGTCGGCGATCCTCCTTTCTGCGCGCTCAGATCTGTGTGAAGTGCGGTTCACTGGCGCCGGCCGGTCGAGGCCGATCCCACACCGACATTCGTTCCAGGCTCGGTATGGTTGGGGCGGCTCCGGGCGTGGCCAAACGGCCATCGGTGTATTGGGAACCGGGGTGTTGACAGCAGAGATATGGGAGCCGGGTATTGAGAGCCCGAACAGTGAGACCCGGTGTTTTGGGCGCCGGTGTTTTAGGAGCCGGGATATTTTTGCTGCCGGGACATTGGCAGACCGGCTTTGGAAAGGCGCGATGAAGATGAGCCAGACATGACAGCGAAGCTGGAAGGCTGTGTGAAGGGTGGTGAGCTCGATTGTCGCCCATGGCAACCAGCTACGGCATTCATCACTGTACCCAGAGATGCATATCTGAGGCTTTCGCGAGAGTGAGCCTGAATGAGAAGCGAGCTTTGCTGCGGCGCCGCTCGCTCCCACACTCTCGCCGACTGAAACGGTCCGCCGAGCCTGGCGGCGCTCTATGAATAGGCCCCATCTTCGAGCCTCCGTATTCGCTAATCATGAGGACGTGAACCAGACGGGATGGGCGGGGAGGGGGGGGAGGGAGGGGAGGTCTGCAGCAAATGCCTCTGGTGTTGTCTGTAAATATCCGACGGCTTGCCGTCAAACTCCAGCAGCCCTCCCAGCTGGCGAGCAATGTAGCTAAATTGTGCATGCTCGGATGTCATCAGGCAGATGTTGGCCCGTTCGCTGTCTGACATTTCTGTGGCGGGTGACTTGGAGGTGTAATTCCTGTTGCATTTCAACAATGGCCTGAGGCACGCTTTGCTTAGGCACGAAGCTGAAGACGTTTTGGAGTGAACAAAAGAAAAGCTGAACTTTTGTCGCCAACGTTCAACAAAGCATCCGTAAATAATCGCCTGATAAATCATATGGCCCTGGCTCATGAGGGCCAAGCGTCTGCACTCATTAAAAATGTCAGAGCCAAAAGAATAACACAGCTGGCGCAATTAAACGTATACACACACACACACACACACACACACACACACACACACACACACACACACACACACACACACACACACACACACACACACACACACACACACACACACACACACACACACACACACACACACACACACACACACACACACACACACACACACACACACACACACACACACACACACACACACACACACACACACACACACACACACACACACACACACACACACACACACACACACACACACACACACACAGATATATATATATATATATATATATATATATATATATATATATATATATCATACACACGCTTTAAAAACACTAAGCAGACAGCGATAATAAACATCGGCCAACTTTATGCATCCCGTTAATCGGTACATGGTATCGCATACACCCTGTGAGCTTTGACGCAGTCCACTTTACATTATGTGACCTCGCATGACACCGCGCGTCGACAGGAGCGTACGTGCCGCTGACTGCCGAGGGAACGATCGTGGTGGATGGTGTGCTGGCCTCCTGCTACGCCTCGTTCGATCACGACTGGGCCCACGCGCTGACCACGCCCATTCGCTGGCTGCCTGCGCTGTTCGACGGGCCCGGCGACCGAGACGCGGACGGACCCAGAGGTGAGGACCGAGACGCGAACGGACCTAGAGGTGAGAACCGAGACGCGGACGGGCCCAGAGGTGAAAACCGAGACGCGGACGGGCCCAGAGGTGAGAACCGAGACGGGGACGGGCCCAGAGGTGAGGACCGAGACGCGAATGGGCCCAGAGGTAAGGACTGAGACGCGGACGGGCCCAGAGGTGAGGACCGAGACGCGAACGGACCTAGAGGTGAGAACCGAGACGCGGACGGGCCCAGAGGTGAAAACCGAGACGCGGACGGGCCCAGAGGTGAGAACCGAGACGCGGACGGACCCAGAGGTAAGGGCCGAGACGCGGACGGGCCCGGAGGTGAGGCTCGAGACTGTACGGCAGCCTACTTACGTCACTACGCTGATGTGGCTCCTCGCAGAGCCATGCTGCGGGAGCGGAGCTCGACATTTCCTTCGTACAAATCGCATTGATCTTCGTGGTCATTCATGAAGACTAGACACTGACCCCGACACGGTGATGATTAAAAACTGATGCGGTGTCCAGCAGGGGGGCCTCTGACAGTTACCTTAGGTGCACACCTGAGTCCCACCCTCGGCCGCCAGCAACGCCGACAGTCTGAGTCAGCGCCGTACCGCCGTCAGTCTGTGTCAGCGCCGTACCGCCGTCAGTCTGTGTCAGCGCCGTACCGCCGTCAGTCTGTGTCAGCGCCGTACCGCCGTCAGTCTGTGTCAGCGCCGTACCACCCGTCATTTCAGCCGCCGTCGAGCTGCTGAAGAGCTTCGGACGCTGGCTGTTCCCCGAGCCGGGCTCCAAGAACCGCGCCGCCGACGACCACTCGGTGGTGAAGCTGCCGCTGATGGCGCCGCTGCAGGCCAGCTCTCAGTAGGCGGCGTCAGGACCGCGCCCCGAGCCGGGCCGGCGCGCGCTCTCCCCAACTGCGGCAGCCGCCCGGCACCCTTCGTCTCCAGCTTCAGCGGCCTCCCGGCGCCGCCTGTCTTCAGTTTCAGCGGCCGCCCGCCGCCCCCTGTCTTCAGTTCCAGCGGCCGCCAGCCTCCCGGGTGCGCGCTGTTTGAGTAGCTTCGCGCGAAACTGCGGCAATAATGTCGAGTCGTCACAGCTGATGGTGACCCAACGTGGCTGCGGCGATCGTTTGCGGAATGTTCGCCGCGCGACTGGGTTGAGGGTGGCTTCACGATGCGCCGGTGGCCGCATAAACCGGCCTGCTTCATCCCCAGAGAGTGCAGGTGTAGCCGATCGAGGGAAGGGTGTGCGAGGTCAGACCCCACTGTGACCTCGCCCAGCGTTCCCCGCTACTCCTCCACCTCTCCGGTGCACAGGGTTACCTGGCAGCTCGACGAGGTTTCCCCGTGGGCGTTCTTGCCGACCTTCTTGATGGATAGCTACATCAACAGGCTTTTAGCGCGGCCCGGTACCTTGGGGAGACTGCAATGCGGCTCATCACCCTTGATGGAAGTAGTGAAAAGCCTCATGTGCTTTCGATGAGCTTGTGAGGCAGCTGAGCGTTTTTCACGACGCGCTTGAGCCGCGGAGGAGTCTCCACCGACCAGGTACGCTCGTCCGGCAGCGCCGACCCAACAGCGGCCGCCACCCTGGGCGGACGCCCCGTCCCCGGCCGATGGAGTCAGACGTTGCCGGGCGGCGGCGGAGGCGGTGGAGTCGGCCGCCGTCCCTGATCCGGGGCTGACCTGACCCTGACCCGGGCGCCGGCTCGACCCTGGCCGGTGCCGTGGCTCGGCTCCCCCCTGCCTGGACCGACTCCTCCGCCGTGCCACGCCGCGCCGCGCTGCGCAGCAGACGTCCTCGGCGGCGGGCGGGGCGAGCGTGCCACGCTGGCCGAGCGGGCCAGGGCCGAACCAGCTGTGGCGCGGATCTTAAGGCGTCTTATGAAACAGGCTTGTCGGAATTCCGACGTAAGATATGGATAAGAAGGAGCTGGCGTGGAAACATGTGTCATGTCTGCGCCACTGCGCCCCCTCCGCCAGCCTCCGGCACGATACCGGTCCGCCACGCGGCGGTGCTCCGCCCGCACGCTGTCGGCTCCACAGCCGTGGGCGGTGCGGCGAGTCCGGCCCTGATGGGACGCTGGCCGGCTGTGGGAGCGCAGCAGCAGCAGCCGGCGGCCGGAGGGGCGCCTCCGACTGCGGCTCACGCCCTGACAGGCCGTGCCGTGCGCGGAGTGAGGCCCGCATTCCTGGGTTGTCTGCTGCCGCTGGCCACTCACGCCATGTGCTTGACTTGGCTTTGGCGGGTCGCCCGGCGATTCGTGTGCTGCGCTGTTGCGATTCAACATATCACTTCAACATATCACTTACTGTAAGTGGGCTAAGTAATACTGCAAACGTGGCGCCATGAAATATTGCTGTGCTTGTCGTGACTGACGCGACTTTTGTCCGAAACACCCAACATATCAGATGTGTGATATCCTGGTGCCACGGACCCTGTAAACCGGACGTGACAAATTCTTTCGTGACAAATTCTTTCGTTTCGTTATCGACAGCTTCTGCGAAGAAAGATGCCGATCTTCTGTGTTGGCCTTGTTTTATTCACGTAAATGGATTGTTTGGTATCGTTCACTTCTCTACTGCTTATTTTTGGTACAATTTTACACCAGCTAAACTAACAAGGGACAAGTTGTTTGAGGTGTGTGTGAATTAGACCATGTACCAGCATTGAATGAAAACGCCGCACGCCCTTTGAAAATAGGTGACCTGTTGTTAGATCTAACAATACCATGCCGTTTGATGGATGTCAGTTATGTTCCGGAAACATTCGTTGCGGATTGCGAATATCTACGGGGTTACTTTCTTCTATAGAATGTCTTCGTTGGATTAGAAAATACATTGGTGACGCATGTTCCGCTTGTTTTCTGTATTAGAACAACGTCTAAGACACGGTCCGCACCGCATCATACAGTTACATGGCGGTTGTTAGTGACCAATGGCTGAGCAGAGCGTGAGTGTTACAACAACCGAACGTGATGTAACCAGCAACCAATCCGGGTGCTCGTGGAACGGCAACGCCGCTGCTCAAAATGTCCAACCGAGAAAGATATAAGCCTTCAGTTGCCACCAGCCAAACAACATCATGCATTTCAGTATTTTCTAACGCTTCTGCTTCAACACTAAACATAGCCAGAGCAGGTAATTGTCGCAGCTCCTTCCCTCTTTGGTGGGATCTCCCCAGCCATTCCGCGCACCACAATGAGTTTTAAGTGAATTAAAAACTGGTCTTGGTAGAATAGTGATATACGTTTTAGACGTTTATTATCATGATTTTGAATGTCACAGTGCATCCTGTGTACTGAATGACTAAAAGTTATGGTGTTGTAAGATCGCACATAATTCAACCGAATATTTGGCAAGAGACACATTGCACAACCAGTAAACCATCTCAAACATGATGCAATTTTAGCTACTTGAGTTAACAGCCGTATTCCACATACCGGAAACGTGGGTTCCTACTGTACTCATTCGCTCCCCCCAATCCCACTCTCTACAAGGTTGTCAAGGTCAAAAGGCTGAAAACGAGCGCTCCATGGCACAATCTAAGTTGTGTGCAGCATACCTCCATATTCAGTGGTTTTAAAGGTGCGGAGGCGTCATATTATGGACGTTATCGACGTCCGTAGGTTTTACTAAGGCTGGCTGTGGTCAAGGTCCATCGTGCCATGTCTTAAAGATATTTGACATTCTTCATCAATGACATGGCCTTTTATGGCATGGGCTGACGTGACTTTGATGCGTCCATGCGTCGTCTGAGAGTTGTCTCGGTTGAGGCTCGTTTAGGGCCAGGTCTTCCAACAAATCAGGTTATTGTTAGAGGACATTTCAATGTGCCAATGTCACCGCCACGCATAATAACTGTGTGTGCAGGGTCATCCTAGGTAGCGGCCATGGTAGCTAATGGAATCATTATGATGGCATTAACCCTTGGAAGTAAGCGGTAGCACACCTCGACTCGTGTCACCCTTACATTGCGGACATACGCCAAGCTACGTGAATGCGCAGAGATAGCAGGGTGCAGACTGGCACTCGATTTCTCTTGAACGCAGTCGACTGCCACGCTGACTCACAGTGCATTAGGTTGATCACGACTCAGGAACAAAGGAGCAGCGAAAATTCCGAGCCGAATGCGATTCCAACTCAGGCGTACCTAGTCCTATTCCCGATTCGATTCCGATGAAGTCGATTTCGGTCATAGCAGTGTGGGAACTAAAAAGGCCTATAGGTTACATACAACATCCGAGGGATAATCATCATAACAATTACGAGGCGTCTACAGATCCACACTTGCTGCACGCAGGCCCCGTTTGAGTCGCCTCATCGCTGATTGTAGCCCAGCCGTTTGACTCAACACAGACCCCAGCTCTCAGACATTCTCAGGGAATCCATTCCACCCTGTCTCAGCAAACATTGTGCTCATTCCAGAGCTGGCTTCAACTCCGCCCGGAGTCCAGGTACGTAAGCGGGGGGGGGGGGACCACAGCGCCGTGGGAAGTTGCGCTACCGGCGAAGCTGGCGATTAACAAACAGCTGATTATAAGTTTAACAACGTCAGCAGCTGGAACGTGCGCAACGATTCACAGCTTCCGACAGACTACGGCATGCATAATTCATACACTGACAACTGAACATCACGCAACAGAGATCGACTAGCGGGCATGTTAATAAAATATGGAGGAATGAGACTCGAGTTTGATGACTTAATTAGCGCTGAAATACTTCATAAAGTATTGCGTCTGCACCCGCTAGTAGCACATCAGCGAACGAATTAAACACAAAGACACTCGTTATTGCGACCAACATAAACACATTTAACAGCACAGCCCTTGGCGCTGCATACATCTCGTATGACGCAACTGGAAAGGATTCGCTTCGAAAAAAGGACCGCAAATCAGCCCCGTATCAGGCACGCGGAAGTTAATAAGCGACACAACCAGCGCTACTAACATAATAAAGCTTCAACATCAGCAAAGGATGATGAAGATGATGTGTTCCAGATGAAGGAGAAATCACAGCAACGGGCAAAACCACACCCATAATTCTCCACTCTGCCCACATGCACAATTCAGCAATATTACACAACACTGCCCCGCCACCAACACAATCAACAATCAGCGACTGAGCTGCGCAGAGCAGAGATCGGCTCAGCCCCGCTCTTCCGCCACCTGCGCGGCCACGCGACCGTCCAGGGCGCGCCCAGGAGCGACACCGGCGGCGGTCGTGGAGCGGCCGGCCGGTGGCCGTGCCTCCCCGGCTGGCGGGACGCGGCGGCCCGACGCCAGGCTCAGACGCGGCTCTCCGGGCCGTCCGCCTCATGCCGGAAGGAGGCGCGCAGGGCGGCCAGCACCCGGGCGCACTCGTGGCCGTACACGCGGCTGTACCACTCCGGCGAGCAGCCCCTGCGAACCCGCGCAGTCATGTCACCCGCGATCACCTCCCACCGCCGCCTGACGGGGGCGGGTTACCGGGTGAGCGCGCCGCCACTGGGGCCAGGCCGTCTGAGAGACGCACGCCTAGTGCATGGCTGCGCTGTAATACCCTCCAAGGCATAGAATATGTATACATCTGTCGCAATGGCTGGCAATTGCAGGATCTCGAAATGAGATGTGAAGCTTTTCGCACTAGAATCCTGAGCGTGAGCTTTGTGGCTGGCAGCGAGCGCGAGCGAATGGACCAATCCAGACAATCGTAAGGCGCAACTCAGCACGAAGCGCCCATTTTGCATATCCCACAGCGGCAAGCTTTCGTGGAGGACCGCTCGGCGCCGGACTCAGCCCGCTTCCCGGGATGGCCGCGAGCCAGGCCGGGGCGTGGCCGACCTACCCCTGCTCGACGCGCGAGTAGTGTGTGAGTCGAGACTTGCCGGCGCCGCACGGCTCCACGAGGTAGCGCGAGGCCAGCACGACCCCACGCCGCGAGCTGGCCGCCGCCGGCGCATCTGGAGGAGGCATGACACGTCAGGCGGGCCGCGGTTGTCCCATCCGCTGCGTTGATAACGGAGGACGCGTGTAAGAAGGTAGTGGAAGTTAATGAACAAAAACATGTTTCTGCGGGACGCAAATGCTTGGCAATGGGCATATTACACATGTCATGATGATGCGTGGCGAGTCAGCACACGAAATATTTCAATTTAATGAGCTGGATTAGATGAGCAGGCGTGATGTTTTCTAATGCTATTAATGTGCAGCAATCAAGTTCCAATTCTTTCCGGAGCGGGAAATGAGCCAATATTCGTGCGGTCGGTCCAAGAAGCCAGCCCCGCGCCGTCGCCCGGCACTTTCCTTGTAACCCTACCAATCCAGCTTTCCGAGAATCGCCCCACACAATCACTAGAACGCCCTCCCCCCTCCCCCCCCCCACCAACGGCTCCGCCCACAGTGCAATGCACTTCTCCCCATCCTCTCGCCCAGCGCTGTAAGGCCCCCTCTTGCTCCCCCGCCCCTCCTGACTCTTCGCTGTCCGACGCCGCCACCCACCGGGGTGCTCGACGGTCCGACGCCGCCACCCACCGGGGTGCTCGACGGTCCGACGCCGCCACCCACCGGGGTGCTCGACGGTCCGACGCCGCCACCCACCGGGGTGCTCGACGGTCCGACGCCGCCACCCACCGGGGTGCTCGACAGACGTCTCGACAAGGCAGCAGGCGCCGCGCGGCAGGTCCGTCCGCCAGGCGCGCAGCACGCAGTACTGGACGGTGGGCCGCGGGCCGGCCGCCGCCTCGACGTACTGCAGCACCTCGGCGTCCTCGGCCAGCCGCTCCACCAGCCGCCACTGGAGCAGGCGCAGGTCGAAGGCGTGACGCTGACGCAGCAGCCGGTGCAGCACCTCGGCCGGCGGCGCCTCCAGCTCGACGGCGGCCCGCCAGAGCCGCAGCTGGTGGCCGTCGCCCACCTTGCGGACGGCCAGCTCCAGCCCGGCCTCGCTCGTCGGCACGGTCGTCCAGCCGCGCGGCCGGTCGCGCGCCTCGCGCAGCAGCGCCGCGCAGCTGGCGTCGGCGTAGGCGCGCCAGCTGCGTGGCTGCTCCTCGGTGCCCAGCTCCGAGAGGCCGACCGGCTGCGACACATCCAGCGCGGAGAACCGGCAGAGCGCCAGCAGCCCAGCTGGCACGCGGAACAGCGACTCGGCCTGCCGAGAGGGAGGGGTCAGTAAGACGGTCAGCGACGCGCTGCTCGGCCTGTGAAGAGGGAGGTCAGTAAGGCGGTCAGTGGCGCGCGCCTGCCGAGAGGGAGGGGTCAAGAGGGAGGGGGTCAGTCAGTCGGTCAGTGGCGCGTGTCTGCCGAGAGGGAGGGGTCAGTGAGTCGGTCAGTGGCGCGCGCCTGCCGAGAGGGAGGGGGTCAGTAAGACGGTCAGCAGCGCGCGTCTGCCGAGAGGGAGGGGTCAGTGAGTCGGTCAGTGGCGCGCGTCTGCCGAGAGGGAGGGGGCAGTGAGTCGGTCAGTGGCGCGCGTCTGCCGAGAGGGAGGGGGCAGTGAGTCGGTCAGTGGCGCGCGCCTGCCGAGAGGGAGGGGGTCAGTGAGACGGTCAGTGGCGCGCGGGCAAAACGACAACACTCGGGTGGCGATTTGGCAGCGGTGGTCCTCTGCCATCGGCAGGAGTGGGGCATCGATCTGGCTGTAATAACCTCTCGTTCCGGGAAATATGCATGTAAGCCGCCGACCAAACTAAAAATCCTTTTTGACATCTTACATTGGGAAGAAAGTGGCTGATTAAAAGACGGCGTTCACTGAGTAAAACATAGAGGTCTGTGATTTGCATACGCAAACAGCCTCAGGAACTTGAGTCAACAATATTAAAACTAGTGGCATTCAGTCTAGCACTTAGATTAGACAGAGTGGTCCTATTCCTCGTAGAATAAACGGAAGAATAGAGAGATATATGTGATAATTCGACAACATCCCTTTATCAAAGCAAATTGTTGCGGTTCGATAAAAGCATGTAGCCGAACTATCACATATATCCTTGCTTTCTCCGGTTTATTCTACAAGGAATAAGGCTATTGGTACTGTCTCATCTACATGCATAATGTTCTTAGCAAATGCACTTAACAACTTACGTAATCTCGCACTTACATAAACCAGTACAGTATGTTCAAAGCCATCTCACTCTGTATTCAGCAGTCGCGCTTGTTAATGATATTAAGATTTCCAGCTCCATTCCTAATGTAACCGTTACAAATCGGCCCTGCGAGAAGACAATCCATTACACAAGTTACAGCCGTTTTCACGCTAGCGTTTATTCCAGTAGAAACTAATTAAGCCCTGCTGCATTCCACAAGCACCTAGTTTTGAAATGCACGGCAAACAGAATACACATGGGACGGAACCCATCGTTTGTCGTCAGGCCTATCAAAATAGCCAGTCAACTTCATTCTGGGAAAAGTTTTAGTTCCTTCATTATGAACCAATTAGTCTTTTTTATGCTTGCGTACTTGATCCCATGGGACCAAGTCATAAAGTACTGCGAAGCGAATGGTCGAGCAGGCATATGATGATAAAACAAAAACGACTCCGGAATAAAAATGTACAAGTATTCTAATAGCCCTGACGAAAAACCACGGGTCTCGCTCTTGGCTATATTATTTTCCGTGCATTTCTGATTTGATACCAAATTAGGTCACCGTCTAGTAATGCCTGCGCGAAAGAGATTATATATATATATATATATATATATATATATATATATATATCAATGCATAATATGTATGACTTCCGTGAGCTTTTGTGGTATGTCCGTTTCCACGGGAGGGAAGCCGGTACGTCTTCCTGCCGATTCCACATTCGCTGCGTCAGAAAAAAAAATGAAAAAAATATCGCAAAAGTCCTGCCAGCCATCTACCGGCTGCAGCTTCTAGCAAGCTTAGTTTGAACTTTCTGTTATGACTGGCCTGCCAGGTCGGGTCAAAGGAGGTCAAATCACGCTTATGCCGCCTCGCGTAGTCTCTCACATGTCCGAAGTCAGGAAAATCCGATTCAAGTCAAACACGCAACCATTTATTTCCACGATGTAATGAGAGGTCAGCTCACGTATTACTGTAATTTTGATCGTATATGACAAATTAGTAGCAGTCCTCAAGGAGGACAACGATAAACATGACCGTAAAAGTTGTAGGTACTAAGAGCACTTCGGTTCATTTGAAAACGTAACGTGGTCCTGACTGATCAAACCTGACACTCTCTTTTTGTTGGACTAGAATTGCTCTAATGCGGTCACGGGGGCAGGAACTCCGTGACAGGCCAGTCTTGGCATGTACTTTCATCTCAAATTATCCCCGCGTACCATTCAAATTTTCAGTCCCAATCAGCCGGGTGGTGCGGAAGCATCCCCGAAAACTCAAACGACGTCTCACCAAACCACTCTCCAAGCTGGCCAGTCTCCTCCGCCAGGGGTGGTCGACCCACCTGTCGTATCAGAGCTGTCAGACACTCGTGCGCCGCCTTGTTCTCGTCCAGCTCGCGCTGGTCGGGTAGCCCCGCGCGGCGCGTGCGGCGCGGAGAGACGGACGCCGAGCGCTGTGACGTCATCGAGAGGAGCGTGGGCGCCAGGCAGACGGCCAGATTGTGAGCCGTCATCTGGTTGACGTCGGCGGCGGCGGCCACCTCGGCCAGGAAGGAGAGCAGCGTCTGCAGCGCCAGCCGAGACTCGTCCGGCAGCAGGAGCAGCGCGGACCGTGCCAGTTCGGGCCGCAACCCCGCCGGGGCGTCTGTGGACCGCCGACCCGGTCAGGTACGCCCAGCGGGCGGGTCCAGTACCGATTACAGCTGGGTGAGCCGCAAGGCATGGTCGGTCAGCGGCAGCACATGGCCAGGGTAATCGATATGAATAATCATGGCTTACGGCTAAGAATATTAAGTACGGTAACTTCGAAAATAAAAGACAGAGGAGGTAAGAGCCTAAGCCGTGCACCAGCAGTGGGCGCATTTATGTTGCAAACAAGCTTGGAAGCAAAGCGATGAATGTTTGCTTACCCAAACTGCACCGTCATAGCAGCCTGCAGGCGCGCGTCTCCAGTTATGGTTAGCATTAATCCCTCTTGAGCCCGTGCCCGGGAACGCACGTTGGCCGCATGCACTCACACTGGTAGATGGCAATCAGGATCTGGGAGACCCTGTTGGTGGCGAGCACCTCGGGCAGCTCGCGCAGGTACTGCTTCAACATGTCGGCTACGTCGAACGGACTGTGCCCCTCGAAAGAGACGGGCTCGTCGCCGGCTTCCTCGCACGCCTGGCGTAGCTGGTGGATCCGCGAGCGAGCGCCCGACTTGCGGAACAGTCCCACCTGGGGGCGGGGACGGCCGTGGTAGCGGTCCCACGGGAGAACAGCGCGTCGCGCTGGGGTTGGCGGAGCTAACTTCTCCCTGGCAATGGTTCAGAGCGCACCGGGAGGGCGCGACGATCGTCATGTTGGCCTGTCAGCGTATGCTCACTGACGGATACCAGTTGGAGAGAAACAAATACGGATGGCACGATGTCGCTCGGTGTCTCTGACATACACGCAAATAATGGGGGTTTACGGATCTCAAGCTTCCATGCGAAGAACATGCACAAAAACGGACCAGTACAGTCACTAGTCCCCAGCGCCCAACACGACAGCACAGCACAAATCTGGCACTGCTGTCCGGTGCCGGCGCAGCTGACGCCGCTCTCACCTGGTCGAGGGCGGTGCGCCGGAGGAAGTCGACGGCGCCCAGCAGGGCGGCCGGCAGCGGGTGGCCGGTGCGCTGGGCGATGATGGCCAGGGGCAGGCCGAACACGCGCCGGCCGCGCCAGTCAGGCTCGCGGCGCCTCCGAATCAGCCGCGGCAGCTGCCAGCTCCAGCCGGACGACTGCGGCGGGCAGTAGCGCGCCATCGCCGCCGTTATCCTGAGAGCGCGGCCCGCATCGGTCAGCCGAGGTCAGGCGGGGTCGGACCGCACCGGCCGGCACCGGCCGACGGTGAGCGGTCCCGTCTGGACACCCCCCCTGCCCCTCCCCCCCTAGGCTCCAGGAACCGGGCTGGCACACGCGACATGCCAGGTCGTCTGTCGTCGGATGGGAGCTTTGCTGTTTTATAGATCACGGAAGCACCAGCGCTGAACGGCTATCGGGGTCGTAATACGTAAGGCACATAGCCTAAAAGCCTAAGCGACTGGAGTTAGCGCCCGTGTTACGAAATCAACAGCTCGCCTGGACACCGAAGTTTATAATGAGCCTTCTCACGAGTTTTTAGCTTCCGAATTATCTTCAAGCGGACAAACGAGAACACTTGCTTGCTTGAGAACACTCCCTCACATCTACTCGGACAAGGAACCTCATCAGCAGTGCGCCGAACGTCAAGACAGCATTTTCGGCCACTGACCGGAGCAGCGCCTGGTTCTTGAGCACCAGAATCTGTCCGCAGGTGAGATGGGAGAGGGGCGTGGAGCCGGGGTCGGGCGGCGTGGGCGGCGTCCTCCCGTCCGTATCGTCGCTGCCGGCCGGAAAGCTGTGCCACCGCACCACGCCGGCTCTGTGGCAGAGGACGTCCGTCGCTCAGGTACCTCGCAGGCTCAAACAAACGACAGAAAGCTCATGACACGATGGACCCTCATTTCCCCACCACGTGATGTCCGATTGTGAGTGCCCTCGACACCCGCGCTTCCGACGCGGCTTAATGCTGGCTTGGCACGAATGGGGCCAGTCCGCATCTGACTGACATCACTAATGTGCGGTAATTTCCTCTGTGCAGTGCCATGAGGCACGGACCTGTCACTTCCAGCCCAATCAACAGTGAATCAGCCAACGAAATGCTTTAGCGCGGAGGCGGCCGCCGGTCGATGGCGGCCGGCGCCGCATGGCGCGTGGACTGCAGCTCACCCGCGCTGCTGCCGTTCCTGTTCGGAGCTGGCCACGGAGGGCAGCGAGCCGTCCGAGCCGCCGCTCACGCTCGTCTCGCAGCTCTCCGAGCGGCGGCGCGAGAGGCTGACGATCAGCGGGCCTGCCGGCGCGGCTCCGGGTCAGGTCAGGTCGCGCCAGGTCACGCCGACAAGGATCGCGCGGCGGCACGCGATGACACGCCTGGATAAAATGTCACGCCGCAAAAGGTGTCAGACGGGGATAGGAAATAGTGCGGAATATCTCACCGGGACAGATAATGTGTTGGGACGGCTATCACACGGAGCGCAGAATTTCGACCGCGCGGGTACTTGCACCCGGACGGGATATCGCGCAGAGGCGTCACGCCGGGATAGGGTAGAGAACCAGGACATGATATCCCACCGGGAGGGACGTCAAGCCTGCACGAGCTCTCTCACCTGTGTAGGATAACGTGTAGGATAACCTGTGTAGGATAGCGCAACCCGGGACGGAATATCTCACTGCGACAAGGTACCACACCTGGATAGGATACGCATCAGGACAGAACATCACACCGGAGCAGGACAAGCCGACCGGTTAATCAAGTCCCATGAATTATTTGCTCGGGCGACGTTGGAATCAGATGAGACCCCCCCCCCCTCGTAACAACGGCTTGTTATGCGGACGCCGGCCCGATACTGGAATGGACGTAAGCCGTAAACAATGGGATCATTTGGTGCCAACCTGTTATCCGGATATCTGTGGGGTCTCGTACCAGGACATGCGGCGCCGTAACACGGCAGGACGTCACGAGTGTTTATGGACGGCAGAAACGGGAAAGGGTGCAGAAACGGGCAGTAACCAAAATCAGAAAAACGCGACGTTATCACAAGAGCAGAAAGAAACGACGTAAATATTCCGTTTGCTCATCTCAAACATTGTCCGGGAATTTTCATCAGAGAATATCACAACGGGGCAGAATGCCACAAATAAACCAGACATCACACCCTTCCAGGATGTCGCGAAGGCACGGAATGAAACGGAGAAAAAAATGTTATCACGGGATAAAACACCACAAAAACCTGCTGACACAGGTAGCACCGGACCGCCCTACGGCAGAACGGGGATAAAACACGCATGGGAAATGTGCAGACAAGGGTTGGGCATATAAAAAACATGTAGGAGTTACATATGTAAAATGCTACAGCACCTTGCCATTATTATTAAAGAAACACGTCTCTTCACGTTGGCAGTTTGTTCTACAATGTAATACATCTGGGCGTTTTGGCAACGACACGGGTCCAGTGAAAAGCACATATCACAGTGGTAAATAAGTTAATTTGTTTTGGCCCCAAGCGTTACATTGAAGGCCAAAATTGGAAGTATGTTACGTGTTAAGGATCATCTGGGAGCTGAAACACGGAAGGCTCTGTGACCATAAAATCAAAGAACTTTCTTGGCGGGAATAATCAAACATTTAAAGTGGCCGAATGCCTGAACAACGGCCATCATTGTTCGCGCTGAGCGTGGCAGCTCGGCAGTGCGGCATCGCTCACTGGAGTTGGCGCGCGTCTCGCGGCCGATCATCGGCATCATGGCTGCCGGCAGCGCACAGTCGGCCAAGCAGCGGTTGTAGACAAGCAGCGGCGCGGCCTCACTGGACGCACGGTCCGCGCGGCGGCCGGCCGCGGCCAGCGGCGGCGAGTGTGACGCAGCTCGGAACGGAGGCAAAGCATGCTCTTGATTATCCTTATTTTTCTTTTTGATGACACCTGGGGGATATGCCACTGCGCATCAGCTTGGTGCTGAATAAAACTGGTCGTTTTCGTGACTTCTTTCACACTGTGCTCAGTTAACCATATACCAACTGTCACTTTGTCAACCTGCTTGTACCATTCATGTAGATATATATATATATATATATATATATATATATAACATTACGAGAGCGTGAAGCGCCCGGAGCCGCAGTTCACATCAAACACATACCTAGAACTTTCTTCCGGTATGCTTGGCTTTCCTCGCCCATGTTCAGGCTACTAGAGCGCCATCTGTTGATTCCGGTGTTTCCCAATCGCAGACTGCCACCTCGAATCCAGCCGCTCTTGGGCGCGGCCTCTCTGCGCGTCTCCAAAACCTCCAACTCGCTACCGTTGACCTCCTTCGGGACGGGGCCCCCAGACAGGCTCCGCTGCGACGGTGATGCCTCTATACCAGAGTTAGTTTCACCGTTCGCCGCGCAGGCCGACAGGCAGCGCTGGCGGCGGTCGGCGCCAGTCCCCGCCGCCGCTGTCGCCGCCGGCTTCGCCTGGCGCTGGCGGCGGGCGCGCAGGCTCTCGACGCGCCGCAGCAGCGCCGCCGCCGACTGCTGAAGGCGCTCGCGGCTGCTGCGGCGCGCCTCGGGGCCGACGGCGGCGCCGGCGCTCGAGTCCGAGTCGAGCGTGCTGTTGGAGCCGGCGCCGGCGACGGCCGTGTCCGAGCGGCGTCGCCAGCGCTGCGAGTGCCGGCCGTACAGCCACGGATCGACGGGCGGCCGGCCCTCCTCGTCACTCTCCTGCACCTGTGACAGACGCACGGCACAGGTCACAGCAGGGCCGTGGAGCGCCGAGCGCGCCCGCGACGAAGGAGGCCGAAAGCGTGATGCACAACGGATTATCGGCCCCGACACAGCTCCTGGACACTACTGGATCATAGCACTCTGCCATTGTTTGTTCATACACGGTGAATTTATTCGAGCTGAGCAGCTTAACCACGAAAACAAAATGCAGCCTGAAACGTGACAGCCCCTCACGTTTAAAAAGTTGCAAGGTTTGTCCTTGGCGGAAAGACCCACGGCCCTTGCCCGGCGTTCAGTCAACGTGTCCACAGACAGAGCGACCCCGACCCAGCTACCTCCAATGAGCAAAAAACGTCCCGCTTCTCACGGAAAAGGTCTTCAAGGCTCAGAAATCGCAGTCACAACACACTAAAGCATCTGGTGAACGCCAGCTGTGCCTGTCTGCTGACTGCACACGAAACCCGATCAAGCAGCTCTTTCCCAGCGGCAGTCACGCAACGAGCGGCGTCCTGCCGGCACAACAGGGCCGGTGTCCGGTCAGCAGTCTGCCGGGGCGGAGCACGGCGCTCGGCGGGCCGGATTCAATGGTCGGCGGGCCGGATTCAATGGTCGGCGGGCCGGATTCAATGGTCGGCGGGCCGGATTCATTGGTCGTCGGGCCGGATTCAGTGGTCGGCGGGCCGGATTCAGTGGTCGGCGGGCCGGATTTAATGGTCGGCGGATCGGATTCAATGGTCGGCGGGCCGGATTCAGTGGTCCGCGGGCCGGATTCAGTGGTCCGCGGGCCGGACTCAATGGTCGGCGGGAGTGAGTCGGGACCATGGCTGGTCTTGACTTGGGACCTTGACTGGTCTTGACTTGGGGCCTTGACTGGTCTGACTCGACCATGGGCAGATGAGAGCCCCGTGGTTGGTGACAGGACAGCAGGCGGCCCCGCGGCCATGGGAGTCACAGTCACGGAAGTTAGTGTCCTGCGTCACGGGGAGTCATGGGGAGTCAAGTCTCAATCCTACGGTCGCGAGTAGCCACGATCCTGCGATCGCGGGGAGTCTCCATCCGGCGGTCACGGGGAGTCTCCATCCCGCGGTCACGGGCAGTCACGATTCTGCGGTTACGGGAGTCATAATTCTGCAGAGTGATCATGGAGAGTCACGATCCGGCTGTCACGGGGAGTCTCCATCCCGCGGTCACGGGGAGTCACGATGCTGTGGTCATGGAAAGTCACGACGTAACGTGGACAGCACCAGCGACCTCGCAATCACAAGCATCATGGCCATCCCGCCGTCCCGGCGCCCCGCAATAACGGAAACCCCGCCGCTCCATGTTTAGACGTCAGGGCTGGTCGCGTCGTCGGGCCGACTGTGACGGCGACAAGGGAGCTGACGGCAGCTGCTGATAGATCGATCGGAGACAGAGGATGACCTCAGGCAGGGTCTCCCGCCCCGGAGCGGGACATGGAGGGGAGTCCCGACTCAGTAGCGACCTCTCCCCTGAGTCATCCCTCTCTGGGCAGGGGCTGCCGGACGAGCAGGACCTGTGACGTCACGGACCGGTTAGGTTGGCGACCAATGCGGCTCTTCGGAGGCCACCTGAATGGCAGGGTGTGACCGCGAGAACAGGTTCTCGATTTGAGACGAAGCTCCAGATATGGCGCGGTATGTCAAGAATGTTGCATGTGATAAAAACCCACTGTCCCAGCAAACAATACAAAGGGATGCATGCGGTCAAGCTATCTCAGTTTACCACTACTGGCAGGGGCCTGCTCATTTTAAACGCTGGACAACGAATTCGGCTAATGAGAGGGCTCAGGATCCCCCAGAAAGCCGACATCCGTTGTGACCGCTAGGCGGTAAGGGTTGACTAATGACTGGAAGGCGAGAGTCATTCGATGATGCGCCAGCTGCTTGGCAGCATTGCACAGCATAAAAGAAGATCCATCCATTGTTCTATGAGTGCAAAGGCTGGAGGAAAGCGCATTTGTAAAAATTATCTTGCACTGGTTTTGTGGTTGCTCCGGCGCGCACCTGGGGTCCGACTTTAACCCCGGTTTAACATGGCGCGCGCAGGTTTCAACATAGGTCGTCTCCTCCTCCAGTATTTGGACACTTTCACTGAACTGATGCCAACCAAGGATGTTTTGTGGGATAGCATTGCAACGGCTCATACTGTCCAAAGGCGGCTTGCGGGGATGCCATTTGAGCTCGTAAGACCTTGAGACAGATGACACTTCACGGTTGAGTACCCTCAGACAGGTGACTCATCATGGTGGAGTACGCTTAGACGGGTGACACCTCACAGTGTAGCACCCTTAGACAGGTGACTCATCATGGTGGAGTGCCCTTAGACAGGTGACACCTCACAGTGTAACACCCTTAGACAGGTGACTCATCATGGTGGAGTACGCTTAGACGGGTGACACCTCACGGTGTAGCACCCTTAGACAGGTAACTCATCATGGTGGAGTACCCTTAGACAGGTGACACCTCTTGGTGGAGTACCATTAGACAGGTGACACCTCACGGTGGAGTACCCTCAGACAGGTGACACCCCACGGTGTAGTACCCTCAGTCCGCGCCACTGGAGCAGCGGCACCGCGCAGCCTGCCTCACCCCTGACTCACGCGGCCCTCGAACAGCCGGTCGCGGCCTCGGCCCGTAACTGTACATGGCATGCAGTGCCAGGCGTCGCGCTGTGAACTCGGGGCGAAATTCCGCTGCCACTCGCTTTGTCAGCCTGGCAGTTGTGTCCTTTGTTATTTGCAAGTTGTTTCGTCACTCTGATTAGCACTAATGTGTTACTTTCCTATCGCAGCGGCACACAACCCCTCCTGTTACTGGCACTGTTGTAGAACTGTGCCGCTTGCCTTTTTGGTAGGACCAACGTTTGCAGGCTTCGCCTAGCTAGATCGGAGACACCGCCGACAAAATCTAGCCGATCCCTAGAAGTCAGGTGTCCCGGTGGTGCGGACACTTCGGCCATTACAACGTGTTGGTATGACGCACGTTGGCATGTCCTGCCTAGCCAGATCGGGGACGCTGCCGCCGCCGACACCTGGCCGGCGCCAGAAGTCAGGACTCAGATGTGACTCGGAGAAAATACAACTGCCACGCAAATGGCACAGCGACATTTGTTTGCCGGATAAGGTGAGCAGTGACGGCGTCAAACCCGGCCGCCGGGCGCGAAAACAGCCGTCATGAGGCCAGCTCGGCGCCGCTGGCCGGCCGGGCGGAGCCTTAGCCACCGCGGCCGACAGCCCTGCGCCGGGGGCGGCGGGCGGAGTGGCGCTGCCTGTTCCGGGGACCGTCCCGATGACGCACCGCAGAGGGAGGAGGCGCGCACGGTGGCGGCGGTGCGCGGCCGTATGGCTACAGCTGTCTAAGCCAGGCTCGGCGCAGCATCGCCCTGCGTCGTGTCGTCGGACGTCTCTGAATGGTGGCTGACCTAATGTCGCAGGGTGGCGGCCCGGGTGATGGGTGATGATGGGTGATGTGAATGATGGGTGGCCCGGGTGCATCGTGTATGAAGTAGTCTGAACTCTGGACTGAGCAGACGCCGCGCCGTCATCGCGATGTGGTGCAGCTATCCAACAGCTACACAGAGAACTGCGCATGTGACAGTGAGGAGAGGCGTGGTGCGTGCCCTAACTGTACCGTGTGTTGGCCCGTATGAAGCTATTAACTGCTGTTGTGTCCTAACTTGAAACACGCTGGCAGTCTTTTGGAGTTGGGAGCTGTTTCAGTGGTGGTTGCGATGCTGCGTGCTTGCTGTCCCACAATGCCAAGACGCCGCGGCCGCACCGCAATACGATTCAGGCGTTATGTAACATGTCGGGCATCAACCAAGTCCAGCAAAGCATTACCCGCGAGTAACTTTTCGTTGAAATCCATGCAAGAGTCCATCCGAGGTCGAGCCTATCCTCTGGCTCAGTGCTCTTGTGCTCTTGGAGGATCGCTGGGCTGGGCTGGTGCAGTGCTCTTGACCGACTGTCCATGCAAGAGACTATCCATGCAAGAGCCTATCCGAGTGCTCCGGCTCTATCTGAAGTGCTCAGTTGTCCGTAGATGCGTGCGGCTCCGAGCAAAAGTCTTGAGGTTTTGGGGGTCAGCGTGCTACCATACGAAAAACCCTAAATAAGTTTTTTGTGTGGCCGCCGTCCCAACTAGAAGCTGACCCACACGTTTCAATTCCCCGTACGCCGTCAGTTACATCTGGACAATACAGTGGCTTTGGTATTGTCCAGCTGACCACACGACCGCAGAGTGACCGGCGAGAGCAGCCACAAACTGCGCTCAGCCCTGTGCCATCACCCCCCACCCGCAGGAGCGGCCAGCCAAGCTCCGTTCCACCTGGCTTGTGCGCTGCGCCCGGCCCTAGGAGCGGCCGCGGACGCCAGCTGGAGGCCGAGCTCGGCTCACTCACCTGGCGGCTTCTGATGAGCTCCAGCCTCATGCCGGCGTGCCGACGCTCCACAGCCGGCGACGGCGCCCGCAGGTTCAGCTCCGGCCACGCCACCTCAGGTCCAGCGAGCCGGGCCTGCTGCCCTGCAACGACACGGCGGGCGGGCATCAGCGAACCGCCCGAACTGCGAGCGGGCATCAGCGAACCGCCCGAGCTGCGAGCGGACATCAGCGGACCGCTCGAGCTGCGGGCGGACATCAGCGAACCACCCGAGCTGCGAACAGGCATCCGCGAACCACCCGAACTGCGAGCGAGCATCAGCAAAACGCCCGAACCGCGGGCGGGCATCAGCAAACCGCTCGAACTGCGGCCGGGCATCAACAAACCCTGCAACGACACTGCATGGCATCAGTCTCCGCCGGAACTCCGGCCGGGCTCCTGTCGACGCCGCGGAGGGAGGAGGCGTGGTCAGGGACAGCGTCCCGACCGGGGCAGCGTCGTTATGAGGAAAAGAGAACCATTCAAAACGGCGCAACACCGTCCAGACTGACCTGATGAAAGTCAGAATGGAGTGAGAGGACCAAACTTTTTCCAGGTGAAATCAGCCCCGACACGAAGTGGCAGTTTTACGGCTGAGTGTGTAATGGGCAGACGGAGGGTGTGAGCAGCTCTTAACAGACATATCCAGTCCCAGAGTGCTGTATGGTCACCTCTACCCGCGCCAGCATCCCAGATCCGTCCAAGCCCACCGCCATGCCAGCCTCCGCTGCCGGGCGGCCATCATGCTCCGCGACACAGCCCAAGGATTTATCAGAGATGGTCCGGATAGTGCCGACGCAAAGGCTGTTCAGACATTCCGGGTGATATTCAGTTTAAGATCTGGTACATCTCACACAGCTCCCGTAGTCGTCACTCGGAAAGCACCGGAAACTGCTTCGGAAAGCTCCATACAGCTGCTCCGGAATGAGCTTCGGCCGATCCAAGTGAAAACAGTGCGGAACTAACGAGAGAAAGTTGCCAACACTGCACAAGCAGGTGCGGTGGCTCCTGTAGTGACGAGGTCGAGCGTGAGCCGACAACACCACCCGAGTCAGAGCTCAACTGTGGACAATAGACATCAGGGATTTCTCGAATCAAAACAGATTTGTTGCACGATACGACCATAGGACTGGTTGAGCAAAGGACTTCCATTGACAAATGTTGTTTTCATCCGCTGTAATCATCCGGAGCTCAGCCGTTGTTATTTTCATTGTAACTAACCCTAGAGGTGACGTGTATAATGGCGTTCCAACGCCGCCACGTAGCGCCCTGCTATGTCAGTGATCTCAATAGCCCACTGTGATCGGCTGATGTACATCTGGTAACGGTACTGTGGTGACTGGTGACGCACCGGCACCAGGAAAATGGGCGCGGCAGTCCGATTTCCTGCAATCGTGACTGTTCTTCAAACGACAGGGCTCAGATCTACACAGAATGCATCGAAACACAAGCCGATCGTAAGGAACTCGTTTTCATCTGACTCACATATCACGCGTCGACTAATGCGCATGACCGGCGCATGATCGGGTCTCCATCCGTCGCATACGCCCTTTGCTGGCATGAGTCAACGACAGATTCTCTGCGTATCTGCAACGGTCACAGATTCCTGGAAACGATAACTCTTGAACTGATCACCGCCTACGCGCTGTTCCGTAGATGCGGTGAAATCTGTTCGCATCGTTCAAGGGGGGAGGGGGCAATACAAATACTCGGCTCTGCCAAAACGCCGTGTCAGCTTGCGTCACAAGAACAGGAAGGTGCGATCGGTTACGGCTGCAGTTCCCTCTCATTAAAACGCAGAACAGGCAAAGTTGTGTACCAGGTAATATTGTCATGGAGCCAACAAACAACAGCGCGAGCTACGGACCACATGCGCACATGGTCTCTGGAAGGGAACTTAAAGTGGACGGAATGGTCCCTGGACAAATACTCGGAATGCAGATTCATAAGCTTCTGGACGGTCACTCAGACTGCTCAGCCGGGTTACAGGTCCCTGGGTGAGCACTCGGACGGGCACTCAGACTGCTCAGCCGGATTATAGGTCCCTGGGTGAGCACTCGGACGGGCACACAGACCGCTCAGCCGGGTCACAGGTCCCTGGGTGAGCACTCGGACGGGCACGCGGTGAGCACTCGGACGGGCACGCGGCACGGTCAGCTCACCGGCACCCGTGCCGGCGAAGGTGGAGGGATTCCCTCCAGTTCAGCGGAAGAAAATCATAAGATCGATTGCGGGCTACAAATATTATCATGAAACAGCCAGCTGTGTCTGGTATCAAGAGACATGAGACACTTGACAAGCCTTCTCGCAAAATGGTGCGGCACGAGGCTGGGCTATGTAGAGTCGGAAAAGCGTCAGGGGCGTACAAATAACTCAGGTCCTTGAATTTGCGTCTAAATTGGGGAATAACGTTTTACCTCGGGTACAGCCAGGCCACCTTCCCTCCCTAGCCACGCATTTTTCCTTTTCATGAAAGATGCCTGCTGACAGCAAGCAAAAATCGGTGTAACGCCTTCTTACTGAGCTGCCCCTCCCCCTTAAGACAATCCTAGCTACGGCCCTGCATGTTATCAGCAGCACGCCCACGTGCACCAGATGGGCAAGAGATCCGTCACACCATCCAGGCACTGCCACACAGCTGTCATCGAGTACAGAGCTGAAGGCCTGCTCGGTTTTATGATCCAGCCGATTTTAGCGCCGGACAAAACGTGGGGCCACTGCCAGCTCATTTATGTTTTTTACTGCAGGGCCTCGGAGTAAAAATAAGCAATCCTGAGGCCCAGGTTCCACCGGCTCACCAGTCATACCAGCGGTTTGTGACGTCATCACATTAGCCAGAGTCCATTTATTGCTGGGTGACGGGGCGACATTCCAGCGCGTGACAGCTGCTGCGCCAGGCATGGCCTGGTTCGCCCGGGCAAGACGGACATAAGGGGGACGGACAGGGTGTACGTGAAGGTGGGCGGCCCGGGCGCCCGCACCGGGTCACCTTAGCGACGAGGGACGCGGTGTCATGCAGAGCCGAGAGACACCGGCGCACATTTGCGGAGGCTCGTTTCTGATCACAGCTTGTCACCGCTGGTGCCAACATGAGCAAGTGCGGTGAGTTGTAGGAGACAGTCGGACCGCCGTTGGTTGAAAGCCAATACAGGAGACGCAGACCAAAGTGCATATGGTAAGCGCATGTGGGACCATTTCTACGGGAGTGCGCTATCGTCTCAAGCATTGTTTCGTAGCGGCGAAAGCAGGGCAAGCGAGCCCGGGTCAGCTCGGCCGTAAAGTCCCACGGCTGAAAGGCGTCGGGCGGATTGGTCCGCGACAGAGCGATGGCGACCAGCACCCAGTTTGACACAGCACATGGTGGAGCATCTCCCCCAAAAAAAGGAATTGCACTCATGCTTACGGGCTCCAAACTTCCACATTTGAATACCCCGGGCGGCAATAACTTTGGAGGCCGGCAGTTCCTGGCGAGTAATAGACGTTCATAAAATCCAACATTCAAATTCCGGGCTTGTTTCTGGCATAATCTGTCTTGCGAAAGTGTGATTTCGGATTTAGGTCAAGAGAGTAGCCTCGAGGGAGCGCAAGTGGCATTTGAAAGCAAGCTGCATCAGGATTAATGGCTGAAGTTCTGCGGGCAGTCCGCACCACGGGGATACGATCGTGACAACGAACATTCAAATGTTCGACTCTGCGGTACAAGCCAGGTCCGGGTCTGCAAATGGAGAGTCGCAGTCGGAGCCGGTGAGCTCATCCGAGGCCATCGGCTCTGACTCCATGACTCACCAACCGGTCCTGCTCTCCCGAGTCAGGAGTCTCGCTGCTGATTGGGAGTCAGGTGGTACTGCGGGCCGTTTGACGGCACCAACAAGCGAAGCTCAGCCAGCCGGCGAGCCTGGTCGCGTGCTGTAAAACGGACAGCGAGTGCACGTGAGGATGTACGAGCTCCGACTTCCCCAGCTCCTCACACCTAACCGGCGGAGGTCAACGCCACAGTAAAACCGCCATAGAAAATCCGACGACCGCGCCGGCTAGGACGAGCCCGGGCCGTACCCGTCGCCCCTGGAGCGCGGAAAACACTCCTCACCCAGTCGTGGGGGACGCTCCGGACGAGGCAGAGAAGACCGGTCCACCGCTTAGGGCCGCCGCCCCCATACACAGCCGCTGAATGGTTTATTCATAAGTGGGAGATGACGGGCAGACAGACGGCTCGGCGCTGGAAACGCCGGTCCGTCGAATACGCAATGTGCACCTGTGCACTACACCGGCGCATGATCGGCCGACCTCCGCAGCTGGGCCACATTTGCTGGTGGCCGTGGCGGAGTCCGTGCATGTTGACCGGAGGCGTGTGACATTAGTTTGATGAGGAGCGTGCCTCGCTGATCCGTTTGGGCTGCGTGACATTGGTCCCAGCGACGGCGGCGGAAAAAACATGATTGGCGACCTGTCTGGCTGGAAACATCCCAGAGCCATCACGGGGATCACGGAGCGGCCCACAGCATCACAGAGCGGCCCACAGCATCACACAGTTGTCCACAGCATCATAGAGCCGAGCTGGTCGCTCCGCCAATTGCCGCTGTACCACTGAGACTGGGGTAATTGGCATCGATAGGTCAGGCCGCCACGCTCTGCCAGCCTGTCCACGCAAATCCTGTCGTCCTTAGCTGCATCTCTGGGCCGCCACGAGTAGCACCGTTAAACTGCAACCGTATGTACTCCGCTTTACACCAGTACGTGCTGAGATGCTTTTTGCTGCGTGGCGAAAGGGTCCATTTCGGTAGCTCAGGTGGTTAAAGTGACTGCCTGTTGGCTCTCTTACTCCTGACGGATGGGTCCGAAATGCTTTAGACGCTGGCACACGACAGGGATGGCCTTCGAATGGTGGCAGCGCCCACGCTAAAGGTCAAGTGACGTCAGAGGGAAGGGCGGATCGAACCGCCTGTTGCGGCACGTTGAGTTCTAGCCACAAAAGTATGCCGCTGACCTGAAAATAACGATCAGATGGTGGGCTTCGTGCTTACCCGACAAGCTCTGCATAGCGCGGACTCTGATCCAAGAAATCCATGCAATCAAAATGCTTGGACTGAGCCTAAAAATGCAAACG